AAGAATTCCTCCTTAACCAACAGGTGGATTTCATTGAAACTTTGCGTGAATGATCGATATCTTATGTAGTTGTGCGCCGGCATTTAAATTTTGGATTTCGACCCTTTTTTGATGGAGTTATGCCCCTTTGTGCAAAATATTTGTCCATGCAAGGTTTTATTTGTAAAGATTGGTTAATATTGCAATTTCTTAATTACCAAAATAAATGTGTGCCAAATCTGAACATATGTAAAACACATCAGAAATTGGAACTTATTTATTTAGTCGGTGAACAATAACAAACAATTTTGAAGTAAAAAAAAAAGGCCCCAAAAAGCATGATTAATTTGTATGATTCTAGCTTGAAGAACTGAAAGCATTGCTTATCTGATGCATTTTCCCTCTTATTTGTGTTGTTCTGTTCACAGATTACTTGTAGACAGAGCTTTCACACCTTGGGACAATGAGCTGTGTCGAACAGACTTATCATCATGTTCCGGAACATCTTCAGGGATAGCAGGGGATTACGTATCATATATCAGGGAAAGAAAAATGTAAGTTATGCTATTGTAAATCACTTCAGTTTGACTACTTACTCTTTTGCAGAACATACTGAAACATGAGGTCAAAGAGCAGTGATACTTGGCCATTGTTTTATAAGATAATAAGGTTAAACAACCTTGACCCACTAAGATGGGTACAAGATTAATATTTGTTAAAACCTTTAAATATAGATCCATAAGGTGTAGAGTAATTATATTTTGTCTCTTGTGTAAGTTTGCTTGTCGTCATGGTTTTTAATTAAAATAAATTTGACCCATATTGAAGATGACAGATGTGATTTGTTTTTGAAAACGCTATTCAGTAAGAGGTGAGTGATGCAGGGCTACTCGGACCTTTAGTTGTTTAGTGCTTTATAATTTGTATGCAGTGATTTTTTCTGCCTGCCTTTACAGCCAAATACAGGCTGCTTCCCCTAGTAAGAAAAATATTTCATTCTCCAAAAAATAAAGAAAAAATGATTTACCTGATTCATGTAGGAAAAGGGTGTTGTAAAATTTAGGTAGAAAACAAATGCTGCTATGCTATTGCTGTGTATTTTACTGCTATCTGAATGATCCCCTGATGGAGCTGTGTAAAATTTAAATTTAATTTATAATTTCTATTTTCGCAGACCACATTTTCGTCCACATTCACCAACCATGGATGACATGATATCACATGGGTCCAATGTTACTAGTGCTGAGGAGGAGACGGAGTTTAATTTAGAAAGTTTTCAGTCTCACCGTGAACAGCTACTGCAGATGCAGCGGGCACAGGAGGAACAATTACGCAAGCATGACACTCTAATTCTGGACAGCTCGTGTAGCAGTGAACTCGATCATTCCTTTTCTTCTCAACCCACCTCAAGATTCACACTTGATTCAGAAAGTGCAAAATTTGCGGTGTCTGCAGTACTTAACACATCGCAACTTCAAAGTGCAACAAAAACTGGTGCTAGTACACAGTCTTCATCATTGTCATCTTCACCGTCAGTAACATCCACAATCTCAATAAAAGCCATCAAACCAACGTCTAGTGTATCGGTTGTAGCCAAACCTCTACCAACAGTGGCAATTTCTGCAGTGTCGCCTGCAGTCACGTTGTCATCACCTTTGGCATCTGTTATCCCTACAACAAAGACTTTGTCCAATGGACCTATATCAGCACAAAGTAAGACTGCAGAGTGTTAAAATAAAATAATAAGTTTGTTTTCTAGTTTGTTGGAAAATGTTGTGTACATTTTGTGCAAGAAGTGGTAGTTCTATTATGATCATAGATGAATTTTCAGGGAAAGTTTCACACACATATTTCGACATCCTATGAAATATTTTTTTATGAAAATGATTTCTTTTTAATGAACTTTATTTACTATTTAATGGTGAGAGGCACCATTAATGTGTATCAAAGCAATAAGTATAGCTCCAAAAGGATAACATTTTCATGCAACTCCATAGTTTCATATTCAGATGGAAGGAGCTTTGTTGTCAGATTTCCTTGAAAACTCAGGTTTTATTGTAGGAAGCTTTATTGGTTTACTTTGTAGGAAGAAATCAGGGTTTCCGATCTGCTACCAGTAATTTAGGCTTGCATTTGAGTGAAAAAATGAAAAAAAACCTATTGGTTTGAGTTAAGAAATAGAAAATGTATAGGTTGAAAACTAGATAGATACTAAAGTTAAAAAAAGAATGTCCTTTAAGTATTTCATCAAATGTTGATTCTGTTTCTTAACTGGTATACTCTTCATTCCAACAGGTAAAATCACAGGGCTTTCAACGTCACCGGCAGCCACAGTGTTACAGTTAAATTTTCCAATCAGCAAAAACAATAACTCATCTGCTTCACCACTGACTACCACCAAAGGTTTATCTTCTAGCCTGACCTCCTCCTCCTCATCATCCTCATCATCGTCTGCGTTCACACCAATCAATTCAATATCAAACAAGACTGTCTCGGCCGTCAGCTCAAATCTCCTGAAAAATTTCTCTAAGGCTGCACCACTGGAAAGTATGAAGTAAGCAGTTCTGAAATATTGTTACTATATGGGAATTCAGATGTGTTATGAAACTTAATTTCCACTGAATTGCAGTATTGCAATCTTTAATTTTATCTTTTTAGAATCAAGTTAAATCTAATTACCCTGGTAATATGTTTTTTGGGGGGGGGTTTAACAATGAAAATGTCTATCAGCTTAAGACTTTTCAAATTCAACTTTTATATCTATATTGTAGAGTGTAACAGACCTAGAAAATTGAGGATTGGGGAATTTTAGAAATTTTCAAAACTATCATGTTGGACAAACACCAGAAATTTAATTATTGCCATCTGTAGCATCGTCTAGATGTGTACATTCACTTTGTTTCAAACCAAAACCCTGCAAATTTTAATTTGGCCAACCCAAGGGATCAAAATTCAAAGTAATGTTGGTATACAGATGTGAAAATCTCCAAGAAAGACAACCGAGACTAGATGTTCCACAATAGCATGACCTTTAGATTTATTGCTTTATGTAGCCAAATTAAGCACTTGTTTGGGACCCCACTTTGAAAAAGATGGCACTATCACCTGATGTTTATAAATCCACTTAGTATTGATGTTAACAATCAGTTTGAAGTGGAAACTGATAAATAGTTGGGGATATTTTGTATTCCTGTTTAATGTCATTTCTGTGGTTCCCAACTTTTTAAGTTTCTGTGGGTTGACATGAACATTAAGTTATTGCATAGGAATATGAGAATTGATGACTGTAACTGACAATAAACTTCCTTTCTAGGCAGAACCATGACGAAGTGAGTCGTCTGAATAACATGAACAGTATAAAGCATGACATGGCGATGGATGTGACCTGATGGTATAGGGTGATCTGTGTTCAGCAGACTGTGATCTCATACAGCCCACCAAACTGGCACAGCGGCCACACACCAGCCAGTGTCACCCAAACTTTGACATGCTGGTGTTGTCCATGGTCGTAACGACAAGCAGGATTGTACCAAGTGCAGGGGAGGATATCTTTGAGACCTAACAAGGAGGAGTATGAAGTTAGATGTACATCAAGAGCTAGTGTTCAAATAGAAGAAAACAATACACCCTCAAAACTATTTCATCTCCTCCTGTGTTAGTAATGTGAGAAGTAATTTGTTTCTCAGATTTCTTCTAACTGATTTTGAACGTAAATATGTTGTAATGCCAAACGGAGAAAATTTTGAAATAACACTGTATGTGGAAATAAATGAAACAATTGTTAGACAGCAGTGATGTCTAGTATAGTTTTGATTCCACAGCAGGGAGTAGAATGTTTTTGAGTAGTTTTGATTCCACAGCACGGAGTGGAATGATTTTGAGTAGTTTTGATTCTACAGCAGGGAGTGGAATGTTTTTGAGTAGTTTTATCAACAAGAAGTAAAACCACATCAATACATTTTTAGACTCGAAAAGCTTAATATGAATTAATCTCCAAAAAATATTCCTGAGAGGAAAAACGAATCAGTCTAGCAAATAATGGACTTGACAATATGACTGTTTTGTTTTGTAAAATGCTATCAATTTTGCATGATAAATAGAGCAATACTTTTTTCAAATTTCTCCAAATTCTGCAATTTAAAATGTTCGTATTTAATACTGTTTATTTATGCCTTTATTGTTAACCCACCTGTTGTTTCTGTCCGCTCTGAAGTATTCAATCAAAAAGAACTAGAAATAGGGTTTCAGTATTGAAATAGAGACACAAGCATGGCATGGACTGAATGTTCATCTTAATTTAAATTTTCTAATTATTTAATAAAAAGATAATTATATGAGTTTTCATTGCCTT